CAAATAAGTCAACTAGAAATTTGCATGCTAAATATTATTCAGTTGGTTCGCTAAAAGAAAAGATTCAAAAAATTTGATTCTATTGTTGGTATGCATATGACTTTTAAATGACTTTGATTTACTATTTAAACTATTCTAATAAGTTACTCACTAAAATAGTTTTGAAAACTTTGACGGTGTTCTTTTTCTTCGAATGCTTCGTATATTACTTTTCGAAGACATCAATACCTTATTTGTCTTTATTTTTCTTTTTTGTATTCAAAGTGAGTAATTAGTATACCATGAGCGAATAGACATAGTGATATGCATTTCTACTTAATGTAAGGTCATGAACATTGTTCAAAAATGCACAACGACAAACAAGTATGATCTTCACTGAGGGTTTATTCAAGGATATAATTATTGACGATTCGGAACGTGTGCTCGTTATATGAATAAGATGCAACACAAAGAGCAGACAACGAATGATAATAAATAAGAAAAAACAATTTATACTTGTGGAAGAAAATATATTTCAAATAGACTATACACTTTGATATCCATTTTGTTTGACGTGATGTGGTTTTGTGTAAGGTGACATAGAAGCTAATAGTTTTGAAAGAAATATGATTTCTCGAATTTCATACATAGTTCAAGGAATCTGACACATTTATCTTTTTTTTTTCAATAAAAAAAAATATGAAAACGTGAAGTTCTTTTCTAGATGTTCATTGAAATCCATAGTTCAAAACGTTATTTTGGTTGCAAGAAGAATATTTTTCACAAATCTTCCTCATTTTTAGGTGACGTAGTCGAGAACAAGCAGTCTTGATGGTGGTTTTTTTCTTGAATCGTATACGCGCAAGCATTGCTTAGATAATTTAAATTAAAAAACCTTTTGTTTTGAATTTTTCAAAACAGGTTCCTATAGAATTGCTTTTTTTTTTTAAATAAGATTGTTAATCTAAACATTTATTAGAAAAAAGAGGGCAAATTTACATGTGTATTTGAACTTCTAAAGATATGTTTAAAATAAAAACAACAATTAGAAATTGTGCTATTAAAAGAAGCAACGTAGTATGTGATCATAGTATGCTCTACAAAATTTGTTTTTTCAAAACTGTTTTTCATATTAACTAATTATAAACAAATTGCATGATTGTAAAGGTTTTTTGTTATGTTTCAGCAGAATATGTTCGTATCAACTATCTGTATCGTTTCACTACATTGCTGATGAGAATTCTGCATAACATAAATATAACTAAGGTCATATAAAACATGATTAGTAATAATAGTTGCCTAAATTACTCATAACTTAAAGTGATAGACAACAGTTTAAGGACACTTTTGTTTTGTCATTTTCTCAGCAACCACCCTAGCTAGACATAAAATTCTTTCACCAAATTAAAGAGGATACTTCAAAGTAATTACATATTTTGTTAAAATCTCTTGGATCGACCGAACGATGGCGGTACAGGCAAAAAAATGAAATTTTTCCAGCGGACAAAAGTTTAAGAACATTTCAGAAATTTGCATTTCCTAACCAGAACATTTAGTAAAACCGACCATAAGGTATACCATTCGATGTAGAATTGTAAGGCGCATCTTTTGGCAAACAAACTTTTGTCCTAACACAAAGTACTACTTAGCTAATTGCTAATTAGTGCTAATTAGCCTAATTAGAAATTTCAATTCAGAAATTAACTCAAAACTGAATATAAAGCATATTGTTAGAAAGCCCGTAAAAAACTAAACAAATCCGTCTACTTTTTTCCACTTCTGACTCATTTTAACAAGAAAATTCAACAAACTTCATTTTTGAATGAGTCATCGTTTTTAATATTGTAATTATTTTTAGATCAAAAATCATATTTTCGAATTATGAAGGAGCCTACCTTGTAGAAAATTAAATTTGCTACAAAACTACACCTTGCACAGCTCTCTACCCTACATATGAAAGACGAGCAAATGATTTTAATTTGCCCTTTTTCCCTGAGGGTGTGGGTGAGTGTGGGTGTGAGGTGGGTGTCGCCGTGAGTAAACGAGAGATGTATACCCACACCCCACACCCACCCACATAATATGAGTATTAAACTTAATTATCCATTAAATCTTTCTAACAACTGGAAAGCGAAGCATTTTCGCGTATTCGTTTTATGTATTGGTCTTCCTTGTATCTTATCACATTTACTTCAACTTGTTACATCTCATTTTGCTTTGTATTCGACGTTTGTTCAATTACTGCATTGCCCACAAGCAGCTGAGGAAATAAAATTAGCTGATAAAATTATACACTATTACTGCCGAACGGCACCTCATATATACGACGATTCGATTGAATTATTTTCTCTTCACGCACATCTTCACTTACCACAACAAGTTTTTACGGATGGCAGTTTGTGTTATATTTCTGCTTTTTGTTTTGAAAGTGCTATTCATTATCTGAAAGAAAATTCTCATGGAACCCGAAATCTTGCTAGTCAAATTGCTGATTGGATAAATATTGGAACAAATGTTATGCGATCTCCACTTCCAGTACCAATACCTACTGGTTTCAATAGAATTGATATTAATAATGTTATTTTCGATAAATACCGGCATTTCTTCTTAATTGATTTACGTACATTCGTACAAAATGAGGATGAAATCTGCTTATTCTTGAGATATAAAGATATTTTTGTTATTTATCATTCAATATTATATGATTCATCATGTAATTGCTCTAGCTATATTATTTCTTATAAGTCGTCGGATTCAGTAATTGAATACGGTCAAATCATTGTTTTTTTCAAATGTACTAAAGACCATTATGATTTTGTTCAGAAATACACTTCTACGAAAAAAAGTATAAACGATTATGTTTCGGTACCTGAAGAACTAAAAGATAAATTGAATGACATTTTTCCTATGAGAATTCTGACTCAATCTTACGTTATAGTGCCTGTGATCAATATTTTTTGGAAGTGTGTTGAAATTCAATATGATGATCATGTATTTCTTCCTGAAGTTCGTGTAGATCATGAACATGATTAAACTCTTATCTATATTTATAATTCAACTGCGTATTTACAAGACACGACTTAATTATATGCATTTAAATGCTTTATTTTCTTTGTTCTAGATGACATTTAATGCATATGCAAAATTCTACGCAACAAAATCACGAAGCCAAAAAAATGATGAATTTGCTTTCATCAGTTATATGGATGAACCTAATAGTTTTAGTGTTGTATCTAAAAAGAGATTGGCTCATGTTGATACATTTGGAAAAGGTACTATTCGTGAAAGAAATAAAACCTATCGTATTATCGGTGAACGAACCGGTAAATATAAATTGAAAATTTTTTTCATCAAATACTTATCCTCTTTTATTGAAGGTACTCTAATCGAAATGGAAAAGTTGGCGAAGGAAGCAGAAGAGTTGGCTGCATACACAATGAATTCTGATGTAGTGTCAGATACTGAAGAATGGGACAAAAGAAAAAAATCATCAACAAACAAACATGAAGAACAAACAAGTATGCTTTTATAAGCAGTGTATTATCTTCAAAGATTGACTTTTGATTTGTAATCAGGCCTCCGATTGGACCCATAAAATATAGGATTGGGTCCAATCGGAGGCCTGTTTGTAACTCTTATTCGATAGCAACCTTTACCTTCAACTAAATTTACCTGCTCATGAACAAAATACGATAACGAATATCTATAATGAAATATAACTTATGATTTTATTATAGAAACGAGCTGTTTCCATTTTTAAAAATTCTCGACATAGTTTAGATTAATCAGAAACAATACATCGGCAAAGCTAGTGTCAATTCTAAATTTACATTTACAGATTATTGGACCATTTTTATTGTATCACACAAAAATCAAATCTTTTTTTTATTATTCTAGAAATAATCCCTTTTACCTTTAACATATGCTTGACTTTTTTATGTCAAGCACTGCTAAAAACTATAGAAACAGTCCATCGTTCATTTTTTCTTTCCGTATCAAGCAACCGATTTGAATACAATAGGGAACTGTATAGCTAACTAAGCACTGTCATGTGTATGTAATAACAAGGTTTTATAGTAAGAACACCAGCGCAAGATCTTAAGAAAGCTGAAGCTGACGGTTTTCAGATTGCTCCAACTGAACTTATGAATTCAAACTACCTGCTTACTAAAATAGAAACAGATCGTTTATAAACTACTTTTATATTTTCCTACCAACACTGATTATATGAATATATACGGGCGAGTAAATAAAACTTTCCTCAATATTTTGAGAATATTACCAAAGCAAAGAATTGTTCAAGAAGTAACTATATATTATGGAAGCCCATAGAGTTTTCTATCATTTTTTGTTAGGATGCTTTATTTTAAACCTATTCATCACTGAAATAAATTGAATGTCATAAAGTTACGATCATGTTTACATTTCCTCATGTCTGGTTTTGTCACTTTCATCAAACTTAGTTTCTAAAACTTTTTGTCAACAGAAAATTAGTTTTTCACACAAGCAGTTATAAATTGTGATACAACACAAAATTCTCTGCCACCTTGTCTATTTTCATACTTCTCTGCATTCATTTTTTGAGAAATAATTTGACTACGATGAAAACGTCCTTAATCGAGAAGTATCGAGAATCTGTATTTTTCGTGATTTTTGTAGTTTTCTTTCGAATTCATTCTTTCCAGCGAAAATCTTTTACTAAACAGGTAATTATGGATTCTAATAGAAGTTAAGCTTTCTATCAATTCATGTATTTGTTAGCTATCTTACATGTATATGTTGCAAAATAGAATGAATCCGAAAGAAAACTATAAAAATCACGAAAAAACGCAGACTTTCGATACTTCTCGATTAAGGATGTTTTCATTGTAGTCAAATTATTTCTCAAAAAATGAACGCAGAAAAATAAGAAAATAGACCAAGGTGGTAGAGAATTTTACATTGTACCAAAATTTATAGCTGCTATTATGAAAAAATAGTTTTATGTTGATAAAAATCTTTGAAAACTAAGTTTGATGAAAGTGACAAAAACAGACATGAGGAAATGTAAGCATGATCATACCTTTATGACATTCAATTTATTTTAGTAATGAATAGGTTTAAAATAAAGCATACTTACAAAAAATGATAGAAAACTCTATGGACTTTCATAATATATAATTACTTCTTGAGCAATTCTTTGCTTTGGTAACATTCTCAAAATATTGAAGAGAGTTAATTTTTTTCAGAGGTATATATGATATATTATTTAATTGTCAATCACAGAAAAAATTTTTGACTAATAATATTTTTATTTCAATATATTACCAAAAGTCAAGATATTTTATATTTTCAATAATAGAACACCACGAATGACTCAACACGTCTTAGATTCTTAGGATATTTTTTGTCATTTTATGTCTTCTTACAAAACCTCCAATAAAGAAAACAGGACTGAATTCTTAAAAACTAGATGAAGAATAACTCGTACATAGCCAGTTTCGATTTTATATAATTCTCATTATGGTAGTGGGATCGTATCATCTATATAATACTACATGATCTCTCACTCTCATTTAAATATATATATTTATTATATAGTTTTAGATAAATTTGATAAACTATTGACTGGCTTACATGATTTTAGTAAAACATTACATTTATTTGAATAATTCATAGACTTCTACATTTTTATGATTTCAGATCTTGATGAACATAAAACATATACAACACTTACTGCTTGTTCATTCGATGAACCAGATAAAAATAGTAATATGGTTTATAGTCCATAAAAGTACTTTGTATTATTTTTGTTTTGTTTTTCAAGTTAACTATTCTCAAGTGTCATCTGATGACGATATTGGCGAGGATTATGATCCCGATGAAGCAAGTTGCGATGAACAACTCGAGAATCTTAAACCTGGCGATCGTTCTTATTCGAAATCTATTGATAACCGTAAACTTATTCATAAATCAAAGAAACGTTCAATATCAACTCTATGTCGTGATCCATCAGCAAAAAGATCTCGTATCGTATTGATGATATTTCATCTCCAACAGCTAATTCAGAGAAGCCTGATATGATTCAGTCATTATCTTCAAGTATTAAAGAATTAAATCATAATTTAATTCAACTACGTAAACAAATAGCTGGTCTTTCTCAATCTGATGATAAACAACAAAAGGTACTAAACTCAATTTCAACTGATCAAAAGAGAATCGCTAAAGCTATGAGAGCTCATAAGGTAAATAATCTAAGTCAAATAAATTGCATATATTTATTCACTGTTTCTTCAGATTCCAATCGTGTTGTCGGAGGAATCGGAATCTCAGACAGCTACATCAACTACGAACTCTGACAGTATTGTAAGTAGCTAGAAGGGAATTATTTTTGCTCATTTTTTGCCAGTAGATTTTCAAATTTCCAACCGGTGAAGAGGTTGATCTTCTTAAAATTTCTGCCAACAAAACCAATCCAAACAAATTTGTGTTGAAGGCAATCGATCAACTTTTCAAAGAAGAAAAACAATTAATTGATATTGATTCACGTGACATAGATACAGATAGTCGTGTTACGATTATTCGAGGTAAAAATCCACTTTATTACGAAACAGTATAGTTTTTTCTTCTATCATAGATGCTGTTCAAGCAAAGTTCGGCTTGACAGCCGAAGAACTAGCAACTGTCTGGGGACCAATGCTTGAATGCATCAAGTCAAAAAGAAGAAATTTAAAGGCAAAGATCCGAAAAAATATCATTCAACGTGGTATAATTTTTCTATGATGAATCCTAAATTTTGTTCCAGTGATTTTATATTTTTAGATAATAATAATCTTCTTAATAACGTTCAACATCAATCAACAAATTCGTATTTATCAACACAACATAATCCTAATACGTAAGAAGTCAATAAACAATTCTAATAATTAAGTAAGTTTGAATGACTTCGCAAAAGTGAAATAATTTTATTAAGCAATATTTTACGATGTTCATGATAATTTTTTATTATGAATTTAGGCATTTATTTTTGTTTTTGTGTATATATTTGATTCCACTTGCTTATTCTATGTGAACTTTATATGTGAAAATTCAACTGACTAAATTTTGAAAAGTTCAACTTATCTTATGTTTACAATTCAATGAACATATATGATTAACGACGTGATTTTTTGTAATGTCATTTACTATATCTTAGCTATTATGTTATTTTTTTTTCTACCTTTTATTCTATATTACTAGTGAAATAGATGTAAAGCAGTAGAACGTTTTAATGATTTGTTTTTCCTACTAAAATCATCCTTAGATGTGATAAAAGTGATTTATATTTAAAAATAAAAGTTAATTGAACTATAATCACGACTCTTAGAAACTAAACCAAGCCACTGATAATAGCGATAATATCAGATTTTATAGGAGATTGAACTAAGGGTCATGTATAAAATTACACATTAATAAATCGCAATTTATCGTATGTATCGCTAAAAGTATCGTAAAATATCGGCGATTTATCGCCAATTTTTCACCGATTTTGGGGACATGGATATCATCAACATTTCATACAATAAAATAAAAATATCTCCTTATCTGTATATTTTAATTTAAAGATCTCAGAACTTTTGGTTACCTTGAGGGTGTGATTGATACCTCACTCATAGTCTTTCTTCTAATAAAAAAAACGTTTATATTTTGCTTTGTCTCGCATTGTTGTATTCAGAAATTAGGCAAAATGCTCTGCTGTTAAAGAATCTCGTATGTCAATGTATCCCGATTTTGGAATGAAGCGAGCATAGTCAGTTTTTCCATACACAACGGGCACTATGGGCAACGCCAGAGTTGCCAAGAATTTCTTGGCTATAGAAAAGTATAAGCTCATGTCTGGTGAATGCTATTCAGTGAACTTACTTGCATAGTTGTTACATAAGTGTAACGATCAATAAGACCCGGTCTGGCTTGATACGTCATGACAAACTGAATAGAGGTGGAGTAGCTTACCGCCACTCTCGGCAATGATGTTTATTCGCTTCTTCACATATCCAGAGTGTAACAATTTCATGCATAACACATGT